AGAGTGGAGAAGAGGAGGGTAGACAGCCAGAAGTAGCAGTGATGAGATTCTCAGTGTCACTCTAGACACTGCTGCCATCTGTAGCACTAAAAAGTCAGGAACATTATTATTCATTCATATAGCAGTCCTAAGTCAGAAGAATCAGTTGATACAGCAGGATACATAGTCACACAATTCATCATGGAAATATAATTTTTTAAGTGCGCAAAATAAGTGTGCAAACCTCACTATATAAAAAAAACATTTTTTCAGATTTCCCAAAAATGACACGTCATCCTAAACATAAACAATGTCATAAAAACACACGGCCAAAACTACTTGTTATATTTGACATACCTTAACAAAATCACAGTAGTTCTGTTTATTATCAGCAGTGTGTGAGTTGTACAATTTACTGGAAGCAGCAGCAGGTTGTATTTCTCTTGGCCCCAACAGGTCACAGCTCTTATACAATGTATCAGTACCAACAGGTGATTTCATTATCACTTTACTTAAACCATCATTTTAATCCATGTTTTAGCATTACCCCATGCTGACAACTTAACTGAAGGCAAAGTTCACTGAATGTAGACGCTGATGACATTTTAAATAGTTAAAATATACTTCTTCCTTTAAAAAAAACAGCCAGTTAAGTAAAAAAAGAAAACAAAAATTCACAGCATTTTTTCTGACTAGTAAAGTTAAGCTTGAAGATTTCCCGCTGTTTGAAAAATGAGCAAAGTACACGTTGAAAGGAGAACAACTGTTGCTGACTTGTTCAACTTTTAATTTACTTATCCACAGATAGCGCTAGGAGAATAGTTGCAAACTGAGACTTACAAAAGGCACTAATTCAATCCAGAGTTTTCCACTTAGGCAAAAAAATTGGGGATGAACTAAAAACACTGGCAGAGTTACATCAACTGAATTGCAAGGGAAAACAATTCACTTAATTTTATATATGAACAATCTTGTGTGACTTAATAAGTTAAGTGCTCTTATCTTTATCAGCTATATTTCATTTTGATGTGCAATAAGAATAATCATAAAATTTTTCCACCAAAAATATACAAATTAATAAAATATACTGTGGCTCTTCTAGCGCCATCACTGATTTTACATTCTTGATTTTAAGTCCATTCTACAAAACAATGAGTGCAACACATTGGAATAACATATTCAACTATTATAGTTACCCGTACTTTTTTGGCTAAAAATTATATGAAAATTGTAAAATATGTGCTAATTAAAAAAGAATTTAAATGATAATCTCTCTCTCTCTCTCTCTCTCTCTCTCTCTCTCTCTCTATATATATATATATATATACTGATAGTTACCCCTGATATAACCAGCACAATGCCCAAGATAAACCAGTAAACAATCCCATGTGTCATATCACCTCTAATAGTTCCCTGTGATCCCCAGGGTACCAGACACCTGCAAGCCCCCCCCCCCCCCCCCCCCCCGAATACAGATCAAGGCACCCAGGTATTCTGTGGTATATATATATATATATATATATATATATATATATACCGCATGACTGTGATTCCTCAGGCAAACCAAGGCATTGCTCTGTCTTTTCATATATCTTTATATGATTGTTCCTTCACCTGTGCCAGCTATGTTTAGAACACTATGATATATGTTCTTGTCTTCTATCTTAGATGCAGTTGGATACATGTTATCACTCTTTGACCCCCACCACCCCCATATGCACTCAGTTATACCCAGCTTTTTGCCCAACAAAAAGACTCTTTATCCTGTTAACAAAATATATTTAAATTCAAGAAGTTCTCATTAAACTGCTGTAAGTTCATCATAACCAAGACATCATCACTACAATTATAATCATATTGCTAAGTCTTGTGCCTTATCACTACATCTACAGTTCTAGGTGGAACTCTTGGCACTGGTTTTGAACAGAACTTCTCCAAAACTGCTCCTGCCGCTGACTGAAATCCATGCCTGAGTTTGTCCTGTTAATAACTCCCCTGACAGTAAAACTGATAAGATCATGGAATGGGATAATTAGCAATTATAAAGTTGCCTGTTAATACATGTATAGGTCTTATGAATTCATTACTAGTAAACCACAAACTTTTCACATTTGCAAAGTTTTGATTTGTAACACTAACACTGGTCATAAGAAATCCTGCTCTTCTTCTCACAAAGATGTGATTCTGTATGCTTTATTTATTAAATTATTTTTTTCGTTTATTACTGAAACATTCTCTTTATTCCTGTAGTCTTGCTGCAGGTTTTATCTGCTTCACTTTCCAAACAAAATTTAGACAGAAAGTCACCATTTTCAATGGGATCAGTTAAGTATTGCAAAGAATCTTTTAAGTAGAAAGTAATTTAATCAGCTAAGATAATTTATTTTAAAATCTGCCAAATTTTCACCAGTCACAACATTGCAAATCCTCCCCATTTGTTCTAATGTGCTGAAGAACATGAACTTAGAATAACGCAGTTATAGTTACATATCTTAACTTTAAAATAAAAAAGTTAATATTGGGAAGACGTAATTTTGCCAGAGTTACTGTTTTATCTATTTATCTATATTACTACCTTATTGTTTAGAAATAGTCTGGAATGTACAATGCAATTAATTAAAAAATGGTAACTGTTTGAAAAAAAAAGGGACTCCTTCGTAAAAAGTTTAGCGCTCGCTTTATAGCTCCCTGCCCCGTTCTGTCACTTTGTACATAATACATGCATTTTTACAAGTGCTAAACTTCACAATTTGACAAGAACATCTCCAAAAACGAGCCTTTATAATGCATGATTTGCTGTTATTGAAAACAACGACCTGTTTCGACATACCAGAGCAACAAGCATAACATAACATGATGTAACAAAATTCCTAATCAATAACCGATAATTTCTTCCCAGCGCGCGAAATGGCAACATGCATTTATCTCGCCATTAATTAATTACACTCACCACGTGAAATTAAGTCTTCCTTTATCTTCCGAGATAAAACTTCAGCACGTTTATGATATCCTCTACAATATCTGTGACTCTCTTCTGCCGCTAGATGTATCAATTCCTGCCGCAGCTGTGAGACGGAGAAAGGTTAGAACCAAGAATAGTTTACAGGAACGTGAAGTGATCTGAGAACACACTCTGTCTGCCGTGCTGCAGCCGGGAAATCTACACTTTATCTTCACAACTGCCGCTAGATGGCAGCAGTGTGTGGGCGGGGCTCCCGAGGAGTCGGTCTCGCCAGGGACGGTATCGGCGTGTGGCTCAGCACCTGGTCGATGTCGATATCCTCTCAGCTGAAAGCTCTTTGGTGTAATTTTACATTTTTTTACCCCTGAAAAGTTTGGGAATCAGTTCGGTGAGCAGCGGCTGAGATGGGCTGCCCATGATGCACTCAACCCCGGCAGGGAACCCATGCTACGCCGCCCTTCAATAAAAGTCGTTTTTAACTTTTTTGAAAAGACCAGTTTTCACTATACTTTGATCCGCGATAAATACATAGCAGTTCACCAGGATAAAGTAGCTAACGGTCTAAAACACCAGCTGTTTCTGGCTGTTTGTTCACCAGGTCCATCATCCGTATAAAGTGGACGACTACCTGAACCTAAGTACCCCCCTACATTATAAATATCGGTGTTCGTACTATAACATTAAAAGCGTTTTTTGTCTGGAATTATTTTGAAATTCTGGCTGTAGCACGTCCCAGTGAAGAGACGCTGTGTTAAATACAAGACACCATGGCACAATGATGGCAGGGGAATTATGGGTGTCTAAAGCTTTGGTCAGCACAACAGCTGTTTCTTTTGCGTTTATTTTCCGTTCAAAATAAACTCAATAAGAATAATAAAAGCAGTTATTTCTCGGGAGCACAGACTTCCTAACTCGACAGGAGGCGACACGCCTTTCAATTTGAAATTAAAAATTGCGACATTAACGCACTCTTGAGTCATCAAGATTAGTCTCGTGTTAAGCGCCAGTGATGAACGTAGAAAGTTTTACCGGTAGATTTCTATAAATTTAAAAGCGGGCGTGTGGAGACATTTAAAAACACTTGTAACAATTAGTACCGCAGTCGCTCCACTCAGCGAGGCGCAGTACAGAAAACTGCATATTTCTGATATTCTTGTGGGCGGGGTGCACGCGTTATTGTCCCTAGGATCCATTGATCCCAGTAAATGATCGCAGAAGTTGTTGTTCTTTAAGTTTAGGTGGACATGTTGGACAGAAAAGTTTGTTAATGTATCTCAGAAATACGTATAGGCGTTGATTTTGTTAATAAACAGATGGTAAGAGAGGAAACAGTGCAGCGGGTACATGTACTACAGTAGAGAAACGCAATTTTTAGTAAAACTTTTCATTTGATTATTTTTCCCGACTTTCTATCAAATGTTTGAGAGCAAAAGTATCACTACAGTGAAATATTTATTTTCGACTCCTCCGAAAAGGCGGAGCTTTAGATCTCCAGGTCGTGCTTTAAACTCAGTTTTAAATCTCTCTCTCTCTCACTCTCTCTCACCCACTCTCTCTCTCTCTCACTCTCTCTCACTCACTCTCTTTTTCTCAATAAATTGCTTACAATCTTGAAGTGAATGGTTTTTACCAGAGCAGTGGATAGCAAACATATTTATCAGAGTGGAAACTAGAAAGAGCTAGAAATCTGAGCTCACAAGACGCGGAGAACCTGTCCGAGGAGACGTCCGTGTGGTCTAAAACGCAAGACGCTGACCGACATCTTGCTTCAGCTCTGAAATGTCAACTTTTTTGCCAACTCGAGTCTGGATTTACTGCTGAAGACAGTGTATCTTGTGACGGCAGTATTGAAGGCATTGTAGTCAGATTTATTACGATTTCTTACACCCGCGTGTATGTGATTTGATTTCAAGTCAATAAAAATCGTGAAATTCTCAGTTTTGACTGCTACATTTTCTTCAGAAAAGAACAAATGCAGGCATTTCTGACGTTCTCCGCTTGATTTTAAAATTCTATTTCTGAGCATAGAAATAAAGTTGTAATAGAATGAAACGCCACGTACGACTCATTCTTCCATTACGGGCTGCCAGCAGCATGCACTTCGTCATGCTTTATTTTCTAAATAAATTGTTTACGAATTTAAATCTTATATAAAACAGATTCTACAATTGCTAAAATAATTTCCGTGGGGCGTGACGGAGAACAATTCTCCTGTTCACACACACAAGGGTCGCCCAGGGGTCTGACCAACAATGATAAAATATTTCCTTATTTGAAATCTGACGGTATAATTCTCCAACGGACGCCTAGGGTGTTTTTTGAGTCAATGGACGCAGTTAATATACACAAACATTAAATCTACCTGCTATTCATTTCTCACCCTCTTACGGTGCAGGTATAACGGACACACCAAAACTTTTAGCACCTCTTCATTCATCTCCCCCCGTCCCTGGGGCTTGTGTTAATATACCCGAAACTCTACACCACTTTACCTGTACGACAGGTGAGAAACCACCATTCCACACGACAATGTTAGGGTGTTTTTATCCACCAAGATGAAATGAAGTAAAGAACTCGACACAGCTCCCTGTCAGAATAAACAACTTTCTACTTAATTCTCCATCATCACAGGGGAAAGTAACCAGGGTAGAATTGACGGAAACATGCGGGGGCTTTTATCACTAGTCTTAAGTGTTGAGGTAAACCTCCTTAAGTAGGGGGAATAGTGAACACAAGAGTCTTCAATTTCATTACACAGTCAATATTTATTGAGCAATTGATCACACAGAGAGTAAAAACCTGTAGAATTGCCGGTCACAAATCTCTCAATTACCGGGTAATTTCTATCATCACATAGTCTCCTTGTGTGTTATTACCCCAAATCCTGCACAAACAAGGCTCAGTCAGATCAGCAAACATCAGTTCTTTGTGGTCCCAGTCCCCCGCACCCAGGTGCTAAAATGAACGGTATTTGCCCGTCCCTCCCTTTGTTGGTCGTCACAAAGGTCTTAAAGTCCACACTTAAGGAATTGGTCACTGTATCAGCTTGCTGGAGGCCTGGGCTGTTACTTTTAACTGAGGTGTTCTAGCCATCATATGATGTGGAGGAGTGACTTTATCATCTGCTCTTGTTTTCTTCTTCATTATGTAATGTTTATATATCTTATATAGCACCTGTGTCTACTTCAAACCTAAAGCACTTGATTCTTAGCACAAATCTTCTCCCGTTTTGTTATAATTGTAAAATATGATCATCAAAGTTGTAAAAAAAAAAAGTATTACCCTTTCTAAACCTGATGTATTTTGACAAAAGCAGAGTGTTCACACCAGGGTATAAGAACAGACCAAATCTTCACAGATACAACACAATTGCTAGTTATAATCAAACAGAATTATGATTAAACCAAAGTACAATTATCAGTAGGGTTATTATTTTAATTAAAGACTGAATTTCAAAATAGTTTTCAGAATAATGCAAAGTAGCTAAAATGTCATTCTCAAATGTTAAAGGTACTGTACTCATATCAGTCTTTACCCTGAAATATTACAACTCAACTGAATGGCAATATACAGAATAGTTCAGAGGTGATGACATACTGTATTATGATAAAATGTTATAAATGTTAACAACCTCATATTATCTAGAACTGCCCGAGCTGTATCACACACTACCATATAATATCATCTACTCAAAAGAACAGATATATTTGAAGGTTTAGTGTTCCTATATGCAGTCTGTACCAAGATAAAGTGTGGGTTTTACTTAATCAAATCTTAAAAATTGTTCTTTCAAAACAAAGATGTCATTACTAATTGCTGGGTTTTACTTAACCATATCTTAAAAAGTTGTTCTTTAAAACAGAGATATGTTATAATTAATTACTGGGTTTTACTTAATCAAATCTTTAAAAATTGTTCTTTCAAAACAGAGAAATGTAATTACTGATTACTATCAGTTGAAAGAGGTCTTCATAGTGGCTTTTCTTTTAAATAAAAAAAATGCACCTCCTTTTTACAAAAAAATTGAAATCACATTATCTTTTAAATAAAAATTATTACGTCATAATAAAAAATACCGCAAGTCACAACATCAAATATACGCTACCTAAGCTATCAGATTTAAATCAACAAAACAAGCTGTCATTCATAGAAATACAAAACTAAAAGAGTTCTACATTTTGATCAAATACAAATTTATTGCAGCTTTCATTTATTGTCATCATTTTCTGGTCACTTGACTGTCACATGACAGGCTGTTGCTGGGGAATGTCTTCTAAATATCTGAAAGTAAACAACAAAATGTCAAATGCACAGCAATAAACTCTAAATTTCTATGTTACTGCTCCCTCTCTCTCTCTTTTTCACACACAACCCCCCTATCTCTCTCTCTCTCACACACACACATATTCTCTCTCTCTCTCTCTCTCTCTCTCTCTCCGTCTCTCTCTCTCCCCCCCCCTCTCTCTCTCTCTCTGTGGACTGTAGCCATTTTCAGCTATCAGGTAATTGCCTCACTCTCTCTGATCCTTTCTCACATTTCCTGTGATAAGTGTGTCACTCCTGTGTGAAATGATCACCAAACATGTCACCATGCTACAACCACTTGACACCTCTGGGATGGGGGGGGGACACTTACAACAGAGACAGCAGGGCCGTGGGGGGTGGGGGGGGGGGAGGGGAGGGGGAGGACAGAAACGGGCTGCTGCTAATGAAAATTTTATACAAGTTCTATGTCATTTCTCAGGTTGGGTCAACTGAAAAGGGGGGGGGTTTACTAGTATAGTTATTTTTTGATCTTTTCAATGGGCAAAAATGACCAAACTTTCAGGTAAATGCTCGTCACTTTTGATGAAAGGAAAATGATAAGGATCATTAATTCAACCTGACATTAAGACTTTTAATCTTAAAAAATAAAATATCAAAAGACTGATCAGAATCAGTTTTCAAGTTGCTGTCAATATTGCTAAATATTAAAAATGAAATACTGGCTCCAATACCTCAAAATTCAAGTCAAAGCTAATGCCAAGTAATTCAATTCATGACACAAGAAAAGGAACAGTGAAATATCAACAAATCTCAAAGAATCTACAGAAATAAGAAACTGGGAGGAAAATGGACCCCTATCATTCCTTATATCCAGTGTAGAGGAGTTAATAAGATAAACCAACAAAGCAGAACATCAACCCAAATAATACACTGTTCACACCGTGAACAACTCATCACAAGATGGCAGCAGGAATAATGACAGGAATGTTGTCAGAAACCAGAGAAGTTTGTTTACACAGTGCGCCTCCAATTTGCTCCTGGCTAAATTGTCTCTTAAAAACAGAAATGTTGCATAAATACCACCTTGGGGTCCAATGAGGTGACGGTCACTTCAAACAAACTGGTCAATGGCCAGTCACACACCACTACAACTCAGTGGGCAGGGTGAAAGGACAGGACAGGAGAAGATGACAATTTTCTTTTTCTGATCTCAGGGGATTGTTTCCAATCATAAATGCTGCAGAAGATGCAGGTACAGGCAGATGTTCATATGAAGACTAACTTCGACAAGAACCAGACTTACAAATGTCACTTAACTACCCGATCACACACAAACCCATCTTAAGCTTACTAGTAGACATTCCATCCTCTCTTTAGCAGTCTCATTTTCTGACCTAAGTTGCTTCTTTTGTGAACATGTTACCTTCAGCTTATTCAGTAGATAATTTACTCTGTATCTTTATCTATCACTTTTCTAGCTTAAGTTGGTTCTGTTGTAACCACAGCCTAGAAGGTGTATCAATTAAGGTGTTTAGCTATATAATTCTTCTACAGTGCTAGTGCCAGGTGGGTCTTGCGTCACAGGTGTCATCAAGTCTCTGTCTGATGTAATAACTCAGATCCCCTGCTGGTGTATAGTGTCAAGCAGGAGGGTGACATTACAGTACAGGTGAGTTTACAGGTATGTTTACAGGTATGTTTACAGGTGTGTTTACAGGTGAGTGTACAGGTATGTTTACAGGTGTCATAATGTCAACTTTCAGTGACATAAGCTATGACAGGACAGGGGACACTTAACCCATTTTAAGAGGGTCAGTTTCCTTTTTTTCAAGAAGAAAAGAGCCAAGACCTCAGATGCCTTGCACATAAGTATGCCCTTATGTCCCTTTTTCTTTTCTTTCTTTTTTGAAAATTAGCTTTCAACAAATGTGCAATGCATTTCTATAAATGGGAATGGCTGTCCATGCCCCTTCCCTAATTTTCTTTCATTGATAAATAAAAGTTGCAGCTCACTGTTATTGACTCCTGCTGTTTGTTGTGTTTTTCTTTCATTTCTGTTGGAGATTGAAATGCTGCTACCACCGTTTCATTTTACAGGGGTGTAATCAGTTAGATAAACTATGACACTATCAATATACGTGCATATCTCCATAATAGCATATTGTACTGTAACGTAAACAGCCACAAATAAATAAATCTGTATTAAAACAACGTGTATATTTTGATTTTGATAAGTTTTGGGTTCAATTAAATAATGATGAAAAATATCAGTCTGTTGAAGAAGTTGATGGAATAAAGACAAAATGTCAGAGCTTACATCATCATCTGAGTGCCAAATATGAGAGTCACTTTTCCTTCTTTATCTGACAGTATCAAAACCATTCAAAACATCTACAATTATTTTTTAGATTAAATAACAATTCAATACCTCCCTTCCACAGCTGTGCGTTAAGTGTGGTAAGATTTAAGATTGTAACTAACAAAGCAATTTGCTGCAGACAGTGTTATGTGGACTTTGAAGTCTACAGGGCAGTCAAGACAGAGAGGACCAGTCTTCAAAGGGAGACATTGTGTCATCAAAAAACCCCCGCAGTAATTGAGTGTCACTACATCATCTCAGTAAGATCAAAGTATCAAATATGGAGACAACACTGACCTATCTCTATCATAGTGTAAGTGGTCAGTGTGTCCAATACCTGGACATAACAGAGAAGTTTTACTGTCTTATGCACAGAAACTGGCCCAAATTTTAAGACCAATTTTTAGTCAGCTTTGACAAAGATAAATCAGTGCTTGTTCAATAAAATGAAAAGCTCTTTTATTTCATAACAAATAAAGCATTGAATATGTAGAGAAGACTAATGTGTTTGTCTTAAAACTAAGACCTCTTTATAAGCTTTAATTCCTAGGTGTTACTGACCCCATATGGATACTGCCCAATTTAGTCTGGACACTGGACATCAAATATGAAGAATAAGAAGACAGGCATGGCAGTATCACCAGATAAAAATGGAAATAAGTTAAAGGTGTGATTGGGGTCCCCAGGTCAGCCATAAGGGGTCTGTGAGGGATTATTACCGTTCCTGATGTTATTGCTATCAATGAAATCTGATCCACACATTCACATCCAGTCACACTCAGGGCAGATCACAATAACTGCCTGGTGTACTGGAGTACTGGCTGGAGTATTGTGTTAGTTGTGCCAGCTTTGTCACAACCATTGTGTCACACAGCCTGATCTACATGTGGCCGAGTACTGGCTGATTGTGTTAGTTGTGCCTGCTCTGTCACAACCCTTGTGTCACAATGAAAACAACAATTACACTGTTGGGAAACATGGATTTCTGATTCAACCTTTCCATATTCTTATTATCACTTCCATACCAAATGACTCTCCAAATGACTAAATAAACGAAATAACACCTCAGTTGACCTAACGGTCACTTCCAACAGACCAACAGACAGGAGTGATTCTAAAGGTTCACAAAAATCCTACTTTTGGTCCAAAAAAGGTCAAAATCAAAATTTGATCTAGGTTCATGCCATTTCTCAAAATGGATTGACTAAGTGAGTAAAAATTTCCAATTTTCTCCCTTTGACATGACACTGGACAGGTTAACAGTACAACAATGAGGTCACTGCAGAGGTCACCAGGTCACTGCACAGGTCACTCACCATTTACTTCATGCCATATGTTTCCTGCAGTTTCTTGACCACATCTATATAGTTCTTCTCTGCATCCTCCTTGGACAAGCCTAGGAAATGAGGAAATAAAATGTGTATCCAGGAATTACTGGAATCTTGAATTAATTGCATCAAACTCACACTGCAGGTAAACAAATTCTCAAAACAACCTCTGAGTTTGTATGTGCTTATTGTTCTTGGCTAAAAAGTTTTTGAGGAGGCTAAACCTGACCCTTCATCACAGGGCCTTGATCACCACACTAACTCTTTCATGTGAGGTTCAAAAATGTTTACTTTTTTATTTCCTTTATAATCTTGTCACAAGAGGCAACAAAACACACATTTCTTTATATAATTATTATTGTTGTCTAAAATTGTTTGTAACTGGCCAACTTAAATGCTCTTAATCATCACATTGATGGCACTGTTCCATATCTAAGAAGTAAGCAGTTGGGATACTAAAATCTACAACCCTGAGGGTCTATGTCCCCTTCTTTTAATTTCTTTCAGCATTATTATATGTTTTTAGGCCCTCACCTTTCCTTTCGTTCCAGGCATCCCACTTTGCCTTCCCTGTGAAGTCTAACANGTCTGATCAAACTCACACTGTAGGTAAACAAATTCTCAAAACAACCTCTCAGTTTGTATGTGCTTATTGTTCTTCGCTAAAAAAGTTTCTGAGGAGGCTAAACCTGACCCTTCATCACAGGGCCTTGATCACCACACTAACTCTTTCATGTGAGGTTCAAAAATGTTTACTTTTTTATTTCCTTTATAATCTTGTCACAAGAGGCAACAAAACACATGTTTCTTTATATAATTATTATTGTTGTCTAAAATTGTTTGTAACTGGCCAACTTAAATGCTCTTAATCATCACGTTGATGGCATTGTTCCATATTTAAGAAGTAAGCAGTTGGGATACTAAAATCTACAACCCTGAGGGTCTATGTCCTCTTCTTTTAATTTTTTTTCAGTATTATTATATGTTTTTAGGCCCTCACCTTTCCTTTCGTTCCAGGCATCCCACTTTGCCTTCCCTGTGAAGTCTAACATCCCAGGTCTATCTACAATAGAAAACAGTTGACAGTATTATAAAAGTGAAGTCTAACATCCCAGGTCTATCTACAATAGAAAACAGTTGACAGTATAATAAAACTGAAGTCATACATCCCAGGTCTATCTACAATAGAAAACAGTTGACAGTATTATAAAACTGAAGTCTAACATCCCAGGTCTGTCTACAATAGAAAACAGTTGATAATATTATAAAACTACTATATCAGGTCTACAGGTCTCTCTCTCCCTTCTCACACACACACACACGCACACACACACATTCTCTAAGCTGCAATAATCTGTGTTACCTGTGTTCACATCTCCTATAGTTGCCTGTTTATACAACCCATACAACTCCAGCATCTCGGCATCAGTGGGTTTTGATTTCAGGTTCTTGGCGTCCGTAGCTGCCTGGGTGAATTCCTACAAACCGCAAATAGAGAAATAAGTTTGTTTTCCATATTCTTCTTGAGTTTTTTTTTTTACTGTCTTAGTCAACTTTTTAAACAGTTACTGGATACTGCTTACATTCATCAACAGAGATATATATGGGCGGCCAAAAATTCATGTCGTCGATTCACTGCCTTCCCATTGATTCAGTTTCAAGTTTCAACGATCCTGTCATAAATTCAACATCTACTTTCGTCAATTCAATTGTCAAACATCTCTCATCTACGGTGTATTAAAACCAATGCTGTCACTATTTTCGTCGATCGTGTAACTATTCTCGTCTATCGATGGGAAGGCAGTGAATCGACGAAACATAACTGAATTGACGACATGAATTTTTGCCCTTTTGGCCGCCCATAGATATATAAGTGTAGTGATCAGACTGATAGCACTGGAGTCTTATACAAATATGTTTGTGCACAGGGTCAAACAAAATTGAATACTTGTTAGTTTGAACTTTGATGTGATCTCACAGTCTTAAGATCAGGGGCTTACTAGTACTAGGTGTATGGAGATTTGATGTGATCTCACAGTCATAAGATCAGGGGTTTACTAGTACTAGGTGTATGGAGATATGTGATCTCACAGTCATAAGATCAGGGGTTTACTAGTACTAGGTGTATGGAGATTTGATGTGATCTCACAGTCATAAGATCAGGGGTTTACTAGTACTAGGTGTATGGAGATTTGTGAAATAAGACGATCAAGTAAAATTTAAAGAACCTATGATAATCATCCAGCTGAATATCAAAATTATAATACATAATGATGTCAGCCTGCTGTATCTCCCAGAAAACATGAGGAGACATCAACACCTATCTATTTAAATATATAACTGATATGCCATATATCAATTTATGGTTTACTATGAGTGAATATCTTAGTAATGGGTGCCAAGAGCCACTGTTCTGTTGTTTAATTCACATCACAAAATGGCAGTTTTCATTGTGAAATACTTCTGAATGTCTAAGTAAGCCACAGCATCATGATAAAGTTCTCACACACTGAATGAAGTTTCAGTTAAGGAATGAAAAGCCATTGGCACAGGTACATAGAGTTAACTACACCTGAGTATGAGTATGTACCCAAGTCTAAGGCTGACCTGATGTGAACTTGTCTAAACTATAAAAACATTGCAGCTTGTATGCAAGTTTAGATGTACATATGTTCTGTTCGTATTTACTGGATTTTGTTATGATTGTTAAGGACGATAAAAAAATGCCACATTTGTCTTGGCAAAATATAAAACAACAGATGACCAATGATAATTTTACTACAATTTGTTGGTCAATGGGGTGGGCAGGGCTTGACACTTACTTTTCTAAATACTGGCCTGAGATATCGGTAAATATTGCAAGGGTTATTTGGCACATGACATTTTACTTGCCCTTTGGGCCAGTGAACCCAGTGATTCAATGGCCCTAGGTTGGTTTTCAGTGGCCCAGGGCCAGTGGGTCACCCTTACTATCGAGCCCTGGTGGGGCACAGTGGTTAAACTAAGGTCTGGTTCCTTTCAATTTATTATCAGAGCCAGGGATTCGAAAGAACCGCCCCTTTTGGTGGGAAAAGGTCTACTCTGAGTAAAATTTGATCTAGGTTCATAAAGTTTTTATGGAAAAAGGTACACTTTTTCAGAAAAAGAACCTCCCTTTTGAAACTGCTGGCTACGGGCCTGCTTCTGAAGATAGGGAGGGATGTCTCCACCCCCCCCCCCCCCCCAACCTGCCATTCATATTTCAACTTATCCACGTTAGTGACGTATAGTCTAAAACAGAGATAAAGACAATTTCTGCCATAGATCAAGACGCTCACAGATTCTTGGAATATCTGAGGAAGAAAAGTTCACTGTTGATCTTCACCACACATCGTCTAAACAAATCATAAGTGTACCATGATACTCCACAGGCAGGGCAGTAGCCTGAGCAAAATGCCAGGGGGGGGGGGCAGTAAGCGGACACAAGGGGCAAAGCCCCTGAGGGGGGAGGGTGTGGGAGGGAGTGTCCCCCTCCCACGGTGTGGAAAATTTTTAAAAACTGTATGTATAATACTGCTCTGGTGCATTTTAACTGTTATTTATTGGTCAATCAGAAGTCAGAAATTGTGGGTTCATTTTGCCATAAGTACAGTCATTTTTTCAACACAACATGCCAATTGGCCTGGGGGATAGCTCCCTCAGAGAGGGTGAGCTTTTTGGCATGAACTGAGTTGGCTAAAAACAGTACACCTTTGTAAACAGATTTTTGAATGATTGTCTAGTGGCCATGAGTGCCTTTTCTCACAGAATTGATACCAACTTTGCAATTATTTTTTTACCTTTGCGATTATTTTTTTGCACCCCAATTTCCAGGGGGGGCAGCTGCCCCCCCTGAGGCTACGGCCCTGACAGGTGAACTGTAGCCGACAGCATGTGACTCAAGCTTCCATACATCCCCTAGCCAAGTTGCTGACGCCAGTCACGTACTACAAACACCCTGACAATGTTATCAGCACACTAAACACACACAACTGATTGGCCACAGCCCTGGCGTGTCATAGCGGAGACAGAGGAACCCAGACAACGCTTCTTTAATGGACTTTGACCTGCCGCTTACCGGCTGCGATAGCCGTAGTCTTTCTAGTGTTCAAAATACTGCGCTGTCTGTGCTGGTTTTTATCTGTACTGGGTAGTTTTCACCTCATTGGTAGATGCACAATTGCTTTATCTTACTTTCTATGTCACTACTTACCGGACTGTTAGACATTTTCAGTGATAAAATCGAAGTTTTCTACAGGTGAGCTGCCACTCCTTCTTTTGCCTGCTTCTAAGGCTTCTTGTGAAACGTACCTTCTTTGTAAGAAGAGTTTACTCCCAAGACGGGCTAAATCTTTACATTAAATAGAAATTTTTTCACAATAAAGTTCTTCATATGTTGAAAATAATGGCCATTGACGTTACCCATCAAAAGTTTGTTGTCCATAACCGTTATACAGTCTCTTACTTTTCAGAAAACTGTGTCATGAATTCTAAAAACAAATTTCTATTTGGATTTTCTTTATTTAATATTTTTTTCATACAAAACTACAGACAAAATGCTTTTGAGTAAATTAAATTTCACCTTATTGTAAAACCTATCTTTATAAATAAATAAATAAATTTTCATTTTAAAATTAGCAATCATATCTTACTTTCTCTTTCTGGTCAAAATATTTTTTCTATCTAAAAGCATCATACAAGAGCAAATGTGCCCCAATTTAGCTGTGCCTATCTTTTATCTATATTAATGAATTAAAAAATAATAATAATAAGCAAAGTGTATTTTTCTGGAATTTTTCATGCTTATACTAGCTTTCTTGTACTAGCATATATATTTTCAACAAAGGTTTCCTTACAAGACACTATTTAGATGTCAGGTTCATTACTCTAATTAAATTGTACCACCATTTTAACTTAGTCTTGCAATTTTGTAACAAACTGAATCAACTAAAGCCACTACTAATTTTCCTTTTCATGTTTCATTTCAAAAAATTGAATACAAAAAGTTAAGTAAGGCAACACTTTTTATGTACAGACACAGATGTGTCTGTACATATTGCCATCACCTGCGTCTGTTGTCGCCGTCGCCGGCGCCGTGCACTTTCCTTGTAAACACGATAAGTGGAACACAGTTTTACTTTTTGGCTTTATATTTACAGAGCTGATGAATATTCATGAAACACAGGTCAAGTTCAAAAATCAGCATAATCGGGCCATTATTGTAGAAGTTATGCTGTTTTTTCACTTTTCAGCATATATGCAACACTGTAAACACATTTAAAGGAAAACCAATAGTCCTGTTGTCATGAAACTTACAGAAGTACTCAATTTTACTAAAATGCAGGTCAAGTTCGAAAATCGGCATGATCGGGCCACTATTTTAGTACTTATGCGGTTTTTTTGATTTTTCAGCATATATGCAACACTGTAAACACAATATAAGANATCCCAGGTCTATCTACAATAGAAAACAGTTGACAGTATTATAAAACTGAAGTCTAACATCCCAGGTCTGTCTACAATAGAAAACAGTTGATAATATTATAAAACTACTATATCAGGTCTACAGGTCTCTCTCTCCCTTCTCACACACACACACACACACACACACGCACACACGCACACACACATTCTCTAAGCTGCATAATCTGTGTTACCTGTGTTCACATCTCCTATAGTTGCCTGTTTATACAACCCATACAACTCCAGCATCTCGGCATCAGTGGGTTTTGATTTCAGGTTCTTGGCGTCCGTAGCTGCCTGGGTGAATTCCTACAAACCGCAAATAGAGAAATAAGTTTGTTTTCCATATTCTTGAGTTTTTTTTTTTTACTGTCTTAGTCAACTTTTTAAACAGTTACTGGATACTGCTTGCATTCACCAACAGAGATATCTATGGGCGGCCAAAAGGGCAAAAATTCATGTCGTCGATTCAGTTATGTTTCGTCGATTCACTGCCTTCCCATTGATTCAGTTTCAAGTTTCAACGATCCTGTCATAAATTCAACATCTACTTTCGTCAATTCAATTGTCAAACATTTCTCATCTACGGTGTATTAAAACCAATGCTGTCACTATTTTCGTCGATCGTGTAACTATTCTCGTCTGTCGATGGGAAGGCAGTGAATCGACGAAACATAACTGAATCGACGCCCATAGATATATAAGTGCAGTGATCAGATTGATAGCACTGGAGTCTTATACTAAATATGTTTGTGCACAGAGTCAAACAAAATTGAATACTTGTTAGTTTGAACTTTGATGTGATCTCACAGTCATAAGATCAGGGGCTTACTAGTACTAGGTGTTTGTGAAATAAGACGATCAAGTAAAATTTAAAGAACTCTATGAGAATCATAGAGCTGAATATCAAAATTATAATACATAATGATGTCAGCCTGCTGTATGTCCCAGAAAACATGTGGAGACATCTACACCTATCTATTTATATATAATTGATATGCCATATATCAATTTATGGTTTACTATGAGTAAATATCTTAGTAATGGGTTCCAAGAGCCATTGTTCTATTGTTTAATTCACATCAAAAACCGGAAGTTTTCATTGTGAAATCTTTTTGAATGTTTAAGTAAGTTAACCACAGCATCAAAATGAGTGTTAAGTCCTCACAAACAGAATGAAGCTTCAATTAAGGAATGAACGGCCATCGGCACAGGTACATAGAGTTTACTATACCTGACTGTATGTTCCTAAGTCTAAGGCTGACCTGATGTGAACTTGTCTAAACTAGTAAAACATTGCTGCTTGTATACAAGTTTAGATGTACAGATGTTCTGTTTGCATTTACTGGGTTTTGTTAAGATTGTTAAAGAAGATAAAAAATGCCACATTTGTCTTGGCAAAATATAAAACAGATGACCAATGATAATTTTACTACAATTTGTTGGTCAATGGGGTGGGCAGGGCTTGACACTAACTTTTTTAAATACTGGCCTGAGATATCGGTAAATATTGCAAGGGTTATTTGGCACATGACATTTTACTTGCCCTTTGGGCCAGTGACCCCAGTGATTCAATGGCCCTAGGTTGGTTTTCAGTGGCCCAGGGCCAGTGGGTCACCCTTACTATCGAGCCCTGGTGGGGCACAGTGGTCCTTTCAATTTATTATCAGAGCCAGGGAGGGTACGGGGGGTTCGAAAGAACCGCCCCTTTTGGTGGGAAAAGGTCTACTCTGGGTAAAATTTGATCTAGGTTCATGAAGTTTTTATGGAAAAAGGTACACTTTTTCAGAAAAAGAACCTCCCTTTTGAAATTGCTGGCTACATGCCTGCTTTTGAAGATAGGGAGGGATGTCTCTCCCCCCCCCCCCCCACCCCCCAACCTGCCATTCATATTTCAACTTATCCACGTATAGTCTAAAACAGAGATTAAGACAATTTCTGTCATAGATCAAGACAATGGCAGATTCTTGGAATATCTGAGGAATAAAAGTTCACTTTTGATCTCCACCACACATCGTCTAGACACAGTGTACCACGATACTCCACAGGTGAACTGTAGCCGACAGCTTGTGACTCAAGCTTCCATAAGTCCCATAGCCAAGTTGCTGACGCCAGTCACGTACTACAAACACCCTGACAATGTTATCAGCACATTAAACACACACCACTGATTGGCCACAGCCCTGGCGTGTTATAGCGGAGACAGAGGAACCCAGACAACGCTTCTTTAATGGACTTTGACCTGCCGCTCACCGGCAGCGATAGCTGTAGTCTTCCTAGTGTTCAAATTACTGCGCTGTCTATGTTGGTATTCATCTGTACTGGGTAGTTTTCACCTCTTTGGTAGATTCACAATTGCTTTATCTTACTTTCTATGTCACTACTTACCGGACTGTTAGACATTTTCAGTGATAAAATCGAAGTTTTCTACAGGTGAGCTGCCACTCCTTCTTTTGCCTGCTTCTAAGGCTTCTTGTGAAACGTACCTTCTTTGTAAGAAGAGTTTACTCCCAAGACGGGCTAAATCTTTACATTAAATAGAAATTTTTTCACAAGTTCTTCATATGTTGAAAATAATGGCCATTGACGTTACCCATCAAAAGTTTGTTGTCCATAACCGTTGTACAGTCTCTTACTTTTCAGAAAACTGTTTCATGAATTCTAAAAACAAATTTCTATTTGGATTTTCTTTATTTCACATTTTTTTCATACAAAACTACAGACAAAATGCTTTTGAGTAAATTAAATTTCACCTTATTGTAAAACCTATCTTTATAAATGAATAAATAAATTTTCATTTTAAAATTAGCAATCCTATCTTACTTTCTTTTTCTGGTCAAAATATTTTTTCTATCTAAAAGCATCATACAAGAGCAAATGTGCCCCAATTTAGCTGTGCCTATCTTTTATCTATATTAATGAATTAAAAAAATAATAATAAGCAAAGTGTATTTTTCTGGAATTTTCCATGCTTATACTAGCTTTCTTGTACTAGCATATATATTTTCAACAAAGGTTTCCTTACAAGACACTATTTAGATGTCAGGTTCATTACTCTAATTATATATGATTGTACCACCATTTTAACTTAGTCTTGCAATTTTGTAACAAACTGAATCAACTAAAGCCACTACTAATTTTCCTTTTCATGTTTCATTTCAAAAAATTGAATACAAAAAGTGAAGTAAGGCAACACTTTTTTGTTTTTATGGATGACATCCTGCGCGCGCACCTATTTTTGTCCGTTCTCCGAAAAAAAAAAAAAAACATCCCCAATGAAGTCGGGTCGCAAACGTCATTATTGAATTTGCCGGAAAATGCGCTTTCTGCGCATGCGTATTATCGCCACATGGAAATATGGCCCCTCTGCTGACAAATTCATCTCTAGGATTACTTTCCAATAGAGTCTTTTCCACGAAATCGTGAGCATGCGCAGTTCGCGCCATTTTGTGCGGGACTGTTTCCCAGGGGGAAAGAGTAGAAGGGGCCATCGGTACTTTTGTAGTATACCCCCCCACCCTGTAACTTTCTGTAACTTTCACTTTTCAAACAGTTTTTTACATTTTATTGTTTATCTATGTCAAAGCTGTTGAGATAAAATGCTTTTGTAATTACCTGTAGACTTTTTATTAGTGTTAATCACGTTTAATCCAGCCCATTGAAATACAAAGTTAGAATCTTCAATTTACACCCGCAGTCAATAACTTGCTGCATTTTTGTTGGCTAACTTTAAGGTAATTTTATGTGAACAAGTAGCTCGTAATAATTTCACAGAGGAAATCTAAGTATACAATGTATCAATCCTATGTTCACATAAAATAAGGTAGAGTTAGCCAACAAAAACGCAGCAAGCTGCGGTTACATTGTAAATTTTCACACTGTATTTCAATGGGGTGGATTAAACGTGATTAAAACTAATAAAAAGACCACAGATAATTACAAAAACATTTTATTTCAACAGCTTTGACATAGGTGCAAAAGACACTGTAAAAAATGTTTGAAAAATGAAGGTTTTTAGGAAGTTACAGGGTGTGGGGGGGTATACTGCAAAAGTACCGAATGTTCTATCTTTGCTGTCGATTAGGTACGTTTTTAGTTCTTTCATTGAAAAGTCATCAGGTACTTCTGCTAAATTTCTATTCCAACTCCTCCCATGAATGTGTTTTCGAAAAAAATCAGGTGTTAACATGTTACGAAACTTTGAAAATTCAGATTGAAATGAGCACTCCTCGATATGGCGTCCGTCGTGTACACTCCACACTTTC